TTTTACGACTAAATAACATTTCATTGTATGGACGTACCACATTTTGTTTATCCATTCATCGGTTGGTGGACATTGGTTCGTTTCCACCTTTTGGCCATTATAATGCCATTCTAAACATCTGTGGACATTGTGCAGACATTTGGTTTCATTTTGCTTAGGTATATATTTAGGAGTGAAATTGCTGGGTTGTATGGTGACTCTATATTTAAGGTCCAGAGAAACAGCCAGACTGTTTTCCAAAGCAGCTGCACCATTTTACAACCCCACCAGCAGTGTGGGAGCATTTCAATTTCTCCACATCCTTGCCAGTTGTGGTTAGTATCTATCTTTTTGGTCACAGCCGTCCCAGTGGTGTGAAGTGGTATTTCATTGGGGACTCCCACCAAACTTCTAGAGCCATTCTGGTTGGACTACCCCGAGTGGTGTGACTGTTCCTGAACCAATCACCATAGTCCATTCTGTGCTATATTGACCAGACCTCGGTCATGAACTCCATCCCGGAAATCTGCTCAGACCAGGTGGGCTCAGAAAGAAGGAGTGATTCCAAGTTTAAAATCAAAGTCAGCACTAGGATAAGAAGAGCTAGATGCTGACAAGAGGAAGAATGAATGTCTAAAGAAGCTCAGCAGCCAGGAGTTGGTTGGGACCATGCCATGACCCAGTTCTGGCATGGTGGTCTGTTTCGGGCAGACGCCTCTGCTGTGGGCATCACTCTCACTGTGCCCTTGGCACTGTGGGTACTTCCTCACAGCACTGACCAGCTCCAGATGTGCTAGTCCACTCTCTTCTCCAGTTCTCCTCCCACTCTGCCTCCATAGGGCTATTGGTGAGGTTTTGCAAAGACCTTTTTGAAATTCTTATCAAGTAGACTATTCCTTCCTGTTCAGGAAATCATAGGTCCAATTGGCTTGTCTTTCGCTCTAGTCCATTGACTATGTGTCTAACAGAATTCTGCACATCTTCTGGCCTGTAATCATCCCTCTTCTAGAGAACCCAGTGGCTTATATAAGTGTTTTCCTGTTTTTATACATGGTTGGTTATTCCCCTGGGAACCTGGGAAGAAGGACAAAGCTAGATGTGTGCTTAAGACTTGTCTCCTGCACTAAGGAAGTAACTCCAGCCTATGGAGTTACTTGGGAAGAGCTTATGACCCAAGGAATCTGTTTCAAGACTATGTTAGGAATGATACTACGTTCAAACAAAGCATATTGCACTGGACATCTCCCACGGTAATATAATAAAATTCAGCTACTATTTATTGAAGGTTTACCATGTACAGGGCACTGTGTAATGTACTTTTCAAGCATTATTTCACTTCACTGTCATCAAAGCCTCATGGGGTAGACAATATTATCTTCATATTATAGGTGAGGACACCAAGGCTCAGAGAGGTTAAATGACTTGCCAAAAGTCACACAGTAAGTCCTAATTAGTTACCCATAATGCCAGGATTAAGTGTCACTGCCTCCCACTATGATCCTCCCACCATTTCTCCCACCCACAGACTCTCACCAGACTCTGCAAAGCCTCCCTTGCAAGTATCTGAAACCCAGGCCCCTTTCTACTCTGGCCATTGTCATTGCTGGACTTACCCAACTGGAATAGCCTCATCTTTGGTTCCTGACCCCACCCAGCCTTGCCCCTCCATTTCACCCTCTGCCCTTTTGCCAGCTTAGACTGGCTGCACTATAACGTCGATCATGTCACTCTCCTGATTCAGAACCTGTCAAAGCAGGGAGTTCAGAACTTCGTGGGCATGTCTGATGCAGTCTCTCTTGCCCTTTCATGTGGCCACCTACTGATAATGTGAACCATCTGCAATTCTCTCAGCGGACCTTGCTTCCTCTTGCTTCTGTGCCTTTGCATAATGTGTCTCTTTGTCCTCTTACCTCTTCCTCCCATTCCTCACCCTTCACCTGGCTCACAGTTCCATTATCCTCATCCTCCAGGGCTAACTCTATTTTGCAGCCTATAGAAGAAGTCACTCCTGAATCCCACCCCAACCTTCTCAGCATTGGAACTTTAGGCACAGAGAATGTTCTCGGGGTTCCTATAGACCACCATGGTCATCTGGTCAACCTTAAGCCTTTTCTCTTTCCTTAACAGAGACTGGCCTTACCCCATTTTCTGACTGATCCAGCTCATCTTCTCGGGGCTGCTTCAACAACCCTGTACATCTAGAACCCTGGGTTGGACCACGGTGTTTTCCTCTGCAAGCCAGAAGATAACATCCTTCAAATAATTTGCAAAGCCCTTTCTCACTCTAAATGTCAAGATTCCACATATTATATGATCTTAGGGTCTACAGCAGGGTAAACATGGCCTCATATTTTCCATATTGATTTCTCTGTCTCTATCTCTCTGCACACCACTCCCCAGGCCATGTCATTTGGTTGCTTCCAAGGGGCATCCTGTTCCTAGATCCTGGAAAGCTGTCTGCTCTAGGAATGGCTATTTCTTTCTTTCTTTTCCTCTTTTTTTTTTTTAAGATTTTATTTATTTATCTGATGGAGAGAGACACAGCGAGAGAGGGAACACAAGCAGGGGGAGTGAGAGAGGGAGAAACATGATTCCGCCCAGCAGGGAGCCCAATGCAGGGCTCTATCCCAGGACCCTGGGATCCCGACCTGAGCAGAAGGCAGATGCTTAACGACTGAACCACCCAGGCGCCCCAGAATGGCTATTTATTTCCACTATACCTGAGCCTCGGATCCTACAGTCTTGCAAGTGGAGGTCTGAGCAGTGGGTCCCTAGCATGCTGTGTGTTCTACTTGAAGAATAAAAGGCAAGCCTGCAGGATGGATAAACAAACTCATACATTTGTTACCAAAAAGAAAAAAAGGGGGGGGGGCGAGAAAGAATGAAAAGATATTGATTACGTGGCATTGAAGTGCCTGGGGCTTGAACAGACATTCAAAATTGGATGCATTGCTCAAGATCAATAGTAGGTTTTATGCTTCTGATCTAAAAAGTACCAGCGCCATGTAATTTAAACACAGGCAGCTGTGAGTAAGCTCTCCTAACATCGGACACGCTCGGCTCAGGTACTTCCGACGCATGCGCACACTTCTCCACGGCCATTTTCCCTTTTTGCTGGCGGGTGACAGTGGACAAACACAAGGATGCTCAAGAACGTAGAATCAACTGTTCCTGGTCTCGTCCCTTAAATAATACCCTCATGAAGCAGTTTTGAGCCCCGGGGTGGGGTGGGGGGAGGAGGGACGGCAGCTGACAAAAGGAGGTAGGTGGGGTGGGGTTTTGAGGTTGGAAATGATGAGGAGAAGGGTTTGGGAGCGCCCACTGGGGCTGTTGGGGGTGCTCCTGGGTTCTCCTCTGTCTCTGTCATGGCCCTGTGGGATGGGAGGCGCCCAGCTTACAGAGAAAGAAACAGTCAGTTGCTTTCTTGATTGAATGGGAGCTTGGCTGCAGCTAGGGCCAGCCCACATGGTTTCTAAGGGGACGTTATTACTCCAAAATTTCTATTCACGTGTGTGCACGCACAAACACACACACACTTATCACTGGTGTAGAACAAAATAGAAGCAGAGGAGCCTCACCATTATGGCGATGGGTTCTGACAGCCTGAAGCACAACCTCCACTCTGCCGATTGCTAGCTGCGACCTGGAACCAGTTACCTAACTTGACTGTGCCTCAGTTTCTGCATATGTAAAATGGGATAAAATAATAATGACAATAAATAATAATAGTATCTACATGTCAGTCTCATGACAATGTCTACATGCTAAGTTTCTTGGAAGGGCTAAAAGAGTTCGTATAAAATTTAGCACCTAGCAAACATTCGATAAATCTTACGTATAAAGTTTGCTGCTAGTAGGCAAGAGGCCTTGCAAAGAATGTGACTGTCTCAGGTTGTCAAGACGCACACGTATAAATGGATTTCTATAGAGACTCTGGTTCAGTTTGGCTGAGGAGGGCCAGAATCCACTTTAATGTCCCAGACGCATGCGTATGAAACCAAGCTTGGGGCCAGCTTCCCCTCCCAGGCAACGGACTCCTACCTACTGTTCTATCTCAGGTAGTGCCCCCTGGGGTCCCCACCGGAGCACCCTAACTGAGTGAGTCTGCAGCTTTTCTCAGTGCCTTGGTTCTCACAACCACCACCCCCCTCGCGCCACAAGGGACAATCTTCGCCCCTTCTATACCTTCTTTGTTTACAAGCACATGTGCATTTGTTGGGCAAAGTTGTACAAAGTTCTTTCCCTTAATTTTGTGGCAGGATAAGATGGCTAATCTGTTTTGACATGCTATCTAAACGGCCTCAGATCAGTATACGGAAGAAGTCATCCAGAAGTCATGTCTTTTATACACGTGTACTGGTGTGTACAAGAGAAAGAGTTATATTGGCTGTGAGGGGTTGAATCATAATGGCCGTTATTATGGCGAATTCAGGGTCCTCACATTCACGCCACATATCAAATCCTCTTTCAATGAGACTGGTTCCATCAGCTGTCAGATTCTATTAAATATATCCCTCGGACCTACTGACCAGCTGACAGGAGAGAAACTTAAAACCATACCCCCACCATTAGCATCATAAAATGTGAAATCAGCTGGAAGGAATGATAACAGAACTGAAAACAGAAGAGATGAAAATCTGTAATGCCCTTGTGTGCTTCTAAATAGAAAGCCCAAGAGTTACAAACACACCCATAAAATACCGAGGTGAAAAAACAAAACAAAACAAAAAAACCCCACAAAACAAAAACAAAATAAAGGTCATCCTGTTGTATGCTTCATAACCTATAATGGTTCTATTACCTTTTGTTAATGTGAGATTTGCATAAATGTTTCATGAGGTTAATATAATGCAACAACCAAAACATTTATTGGGCAACATCTGTGCTGTTTTCCCCGATAATGCAGTGCTTCTTCCAAGCCAATGAAATACAACCTATCATAAGGTTGGGTTGTTAAAATACTTGTGCGAGGGCTAAGATCACATTTTACACATTTGCGGATGCTCCGATCGTCCCAGAGAATTTCTTAATCAGGCAAGAATGGGCAATGGCTGGCACCCAAAGAGAAGGTGAAGTTCTCAGGGAGGCAGAGCATTGGGCCAATCAAGGAAATAGACTCTGTAAAGACAAGAGAAAAATTTCTTTGTGTTGACTAGATCTGCTTCACCATTTCTTCAGCTTAACTTTTGAAGTTTGGATATATTTATTTATTTGTTTAGCTGAAATATTCACTTAATTCTCCAGGGTGGGGAAAAAATTAGATCTGTTCTTAAAATCTCCTAAGAATCCAAGAGTGGGTCAAAATGCCCAATGGCTTTCTGCAGCTATAATCCTATCATGAGATTGGTTCCATATGGGGCTCTTTAAAGCAAAAAAAAAAAAAAAAAAGTTATGAGACCAATAACTCTTAACGAAACTTGGCTTAGCTTACGAGCAGGTCTAACAGATGAAACAGCAGTCCAAGCTGGAAACATGACTTTTCTTCTTCCTGTCAGGGATGAAAGAAAGCATCGTTTCAATTAAAGAAGACCCTAATGGAGATGTGTTTTGTATTATCAATTTTAAGCAAGTAGGGGTTTAAGCATTGTCTCTTTTACCACATGTCTCTACGCAAGTCTTCTCTTGCTCTAACGGAAGTAGTAGGCAATTTTGAAAGTGGGCCCCTTCTTGATTCTGAAGATTGAGTTGGTTTTTGTTTTTGTTTTTAATTTGACCATTGAATCTTAATGGAATTTTGAATTTTTTGACAGAAACTTTTGAATTTTTGATGGAAAGTTTTAGTAGAACTTATTAGTCTGTTTGGGCTGCCCTAACATGATAACATATACTTGCTGACTTACACAGCAGGAATTTATTTCTCATGGCTCTGGAAACTAGGAAGTACAAGATCAAGGTGCCAGCCAACTCTGTTCCCCAGTGAGGGCTTGCTTCCTGACTTGGAGGTGGCCACCTTCTCGCTGTATCCCCACACGACTGAGAGAAAGGAAGCAAGCTCTCTGGTGTCTGAACTTATTGGTCACTAATCCCATCATGAGGGCCCCACCATTATGACCTCACCTCAACCCAATCACTTCTCAAAGGGCCCATTTCCAAATATCACCGCTTTAGGAGTCAGGGCTTCAACACATGAACACAGTTCAATGCACAACAGTGTCATTTGAAAGCTCCTAAAACTTTGGAAGAATTTTGGGTGCAGACTCTTCAGGAAATGAGAGTGGTATTCTCCTGTTCTCGTGCTCACACTCACTCTTCGATGCACGTGTATATCACTTTAGTGTAAGGTTTCTGAACCTTAACACTACTGACATTTTGGACTGGATCATTTTTGCTGTAGGGGGCTTCCCCGTGCATTGTAGGACGTTTAGCAGCAACCCTGGCCTCTACCCACTAGAAGCCATTAGCATCCGCCTCTCACTTGTGACAACTAAATATGTCTCCAGACATCACCAGATGTCCCTTGGGGGAACAAAATTGTCACCCTCAGTTGAGAATCACTAATTTCAGTGTGTTCTGATCTTTGAACATCAATAGGTGTTTTCGGCCGTAGCTGGGTGTCCTCCATAGGATTATGGGCTTAAGAACAAAGGTGACTTTTTGCTTAGGTGTCATCGAATTTAGCTCAAGTCCAGTGGTCTAGTGCCCTCCGTGTTGGGAAAGCCCATGCATTAGATCACAGAGGAAGCACACGGTTGTAAGTAGTGGTGAGTGCCACCTGTATGATCGTAGGAAGAAAGGAGCCACAGAAGGACCCTCTCATCCATCCATCTTGCCTTCAGATGAGACAAACAGACCCCCCGAGACTCTTGCTGTTACAAGTGCCAAGGTGGGGAAGGTGGATCTTCCCAATAACTTCCCCTTGTCCCTGCCTCTCATATTCCCCAGTGCTCTTGCGGCCAATTGGAATTATCCTGCTTATGTATATGTTGACCTTTGTCTTTATTTTCAATGGACTGTCTCCTGTTAGAATGCAAACTCCATGAGAGCAAAGACTTTGCTTGCCCTAAGTGGGATCTTACTGGTGGACCCAAACACAGGAGTCTTGGTTTCAGACTGCCAGGGTTGAAATCCAAAGTCTGCTCTTTATGAGTTTTGTTGACCTTGGCCCATCATTTAGCTTTACCAACCCTCAGTTTCCTCCTCTGTATTTATGTATAACTAAGATAAATAGGTCTAGTTTCTAGCATATGGGACTAAACGAAGTAATACTTATTGCAAAATATGTGCTCAACAAAGATAAACTATTACTTTCACTGCTGTCATTATACCATGCAAAGTAGTTCCTGGCATGAGAAGAAATACAGTAAAGATTAGTAAAATGAATGAGTGAATGAATGAATTCTCTCGTGTCTGTCTCTGATTTTCAATTCTTCCTATTACAGTTGGTAATTTGCTGCCTATCCAATCCTCGTTTCTATTTTCACTATAGCTGGGAAGCAAAGGTCTAATCGGATGTTTGCTTCTAAGCAAGGAATTATAGCAATCATATACAGATAAAAGGGCCCAGACTCGGGAACAATATACCCCCATTAATTTTTCACGATAACATCTCAAATTCTCTACAAGGATTCCATTGTTCTGTGAAGCTCAACTTTGACCCTGGTGCTCCTTCCTTATGGGTTTGTGGGGCTCTGTCCCTGCCCCACACCAGGCACGAGCCAGACAGGGATGATGGCAAGTGGCCCGCTCGGCATTGGGAGGAAGTGGAGCTGTGGGATGGAGAGACAAGGCTGCCCATGCGCAGGGCATCCGCTCAGCCTCCTCCCGCATCCAAATGGTAAATCACCATTTGTAAGAAATGTGCTCAATCAGAGAAGAAAAAGAGATGTAATTATGTCGTTTATAATGAATTCTGGAGAAACAAAGAATTTAAGGAGAAAACTCTGGAGACAACCAGGGAGCCAAAGCCTCTCGGATCATCTGAGCTGCCCTGGAGAAGACGCATAACTGATCAAACATTTGTGTTGATCACAGGGGGCCCTCCTAGCCCCTGAGAATGTTCGCAAGGAAGCAAGAAAACTCAGGAGCCCCAGCAAACACAGACCGACTTTTATTAAATAAATTACATGCTCCTCTCAGCTTCCACCAGCATCAATAATATCAACTTTTGGACAAACGGTTCTCTCTGGGGAACGGGTTCTGAGATTCACTCCTAATCTTCTTTCTTTGAAGTGTCCAAGGGCTTAAAGGCATGTGTCAATATCTAGGGCCTCTGGCCTTTGTTGGGGGGGCGGGTGAGAGGGTCCTGCTGTGGAGGGGAGTGAGACCACCAGCATCCACATACCCACCCCCCCCAGCTGACTATTTGCATTCAGCCCGTTTCCAGGGTTCTCCAGATCACCACCCGCCCACACGGGGGTAAGAATTCCCAAAGGTCCGATGTCTCCTAAGGAACTGGTTTCCATGAGCCTCTAGTTCTAACCTGGCAACACCCGCCGGTCTTTGCTTTCAAGAATAATTAAAAAAAAAAAAAAAAGAACACAGAAGGGGCCTTAGTAGTGAGCATAGGCCTTAAGCTGAAATTTCTAAAAATTTCTAGAAGATCGATTATAGCATCTGTTAAACCATAAAATAAGGACTACCATTAACTAACCCCTTTCAAGATTAACGCAAGAACCAAATTCATTAATACCTTTCTAGATTCTCTTTACCAGCATTTCCCAAGCATGTTGAAAGAACAAACAGCCAGAATTCAGCCTGGATGTCTTACGTCACAGGTTGTATCTAGCCATTCACAAGCTTCCTCATGTGTGTTCTCCATACCAGCCCCGTGAGATAGGGATTATTATTCTCATTTTATTGGATCCAGACCCTATGTTTTTAACCTATAAGCTATTAAGTTTTTGTGGTCAAGCAAGTTTGTAAAAACTCAGAGTTCACCAAGATTAACAGGTTATTATAGGAATTCTCAGCCTTTTAATATACTTAGATCCATTAGAGATCTCCAAAAGGAAGAACAAAATATATAGACTTTCCTCAGCATATTTTGCCATGGAATGCTTATTTCCCCTGGTGCATTTCCAAAGAGTATTGTTCTCCAGGAGCACAAAGGTTACACTCCTAAGGAGATACAGGGTTGTAACTTTGTGCATTAGACCTAAAGCCACAAAGCTGATTGTTGAAAGACTTCTTTTGACTTTTTAAAAAATAAATGATGCATTAGATTCCTATAAGCCACTTACAAAATTGTAAATACTAGAATTGAAAGTTTGAAGTACAGTCGGGTTCATGACATGCTGGGTACCAAAAGTTGTAGGAATACTCGGGCAGACATTTTCACTGTTTTTGGAATCTGTCATTCCTTTCCTCACTTTACCCTCTAAGCACACTCCTAGCCTATAGGATCTTCTCCTGTGCTTGGAAGAGGCTGTGCCCGCAGAAGCTCTCTACTCTTATACTAGAGCAGAGGTTAGCAAATAATAGCTTATAGGCTAAATCTGGCCTGCCACTTGTTTTTGTAAATAAAGTTTTATTAGAACACAGCTATGCTCATATATTTACAAACCTTTGGCTGCTTTCATGCTACAACAGAGTTGAGTAGCTATGACAGAGATTTAGGGACCCACAAAGCCTAAAATACTTAATATTTAACCCTTTACAGGAAAAGTTTGCAGACCCCTGTCCTAAAGCTACATGTTTACAATGATCATAGAGCCTGGTTGCAATGCAGAACTTCTCCAGTAGAAGCCACTGTCTAAAACACCATCCATTCAATGTGAGGCAAGCTACCGCCATGACTTACCCACGCTTTTATTTTATTTTCTTTTAAGATTTTATATATTTATTTGACAGAGAGAGAAAGAGAGAGAGGACAAGCAGGGAGAAATGCAGAGGGAGAAGGAGAAACAGGCTCCCCACTGAGCAGTGGGATCCTGATGCGGGGCTTGATCCCAGGACCCTAGGATCATGACCTGAGCCAAAGGCAGACGCCTAACCAACTGAGCCACCCAGATGCCCCATGCCCACTCTTGTGAGGTCAGAAATCCTATGTGATAGGGGTTTTCTCCAATGAGGGAGAGATACTAAGGAAAGGGAAAAGACACCAGTATTTTTTGGTCTGTGGTTATGTATCTAGAAAGATGCTTATGTTGTCTATGTACAACAATCTTGATAAAAAGATATGACCCCATTTTAAGGGGAAAAAAAAAAACAGTCGAACAGGTAAATTATTTGGCCAAGTTTACATGGTAAAGAATTTGCATCTCAAACTCTCTAACTCGGGTGAGCACTGATTCTAAAGGACTGGTTAAGAATACAGGCTTTGGGGGGCGCCTGGGTGGCTCAGTGGGTTAAAGCCTCTGCCTTCGGCTCAGGTCGTGATCCCGGGGTCCTGGGATTGAGCCCCGCATCGGGCTCTCTGCTTGGCGGGGAGCCTGCTTCCCCCTCTCTCTCTGCCTGCCTCTGTCTACTTGTGATCTCTGTCTGTGAAATAAATAAATAAAATCTTTAAAAAAAAAAAAAAAAGAATACAGGCTTTGGGATTACCCAGTT